AAACTTTTTAATTCGCATGTTCCTCAAGGACGGTGCCATCTTAAGTCACTCTCGCCGATCGAAGATCGATCTAGTGGTCTAACATTCATGAAAATTAAGAAAAAACACTAAAATTTAATTTTTTTAGTAAGTTTGTGGGATTTTCAGAGACTCAAAACTCTACAGAAGGAGGCTTCCCTTCTCAGAGAAAACGCCTTTCTCTCTTACTATTATGATTTTTAACTTTTTTTGCTGGTTTTATTCAGTTCCGATCGTTTTGTGACTTTTCTTGATTTTCTATGGCTTCTTGATTTAAAACTTATAAACTTAAGGTTCTCGAATTTGCGACCCTATGAGATTAACTGGTGCCATTCCAGTAACAATTTCGTGATCCCTTCTAGACTTTTTCATTGTTTTAATTTTTTTGTCATGAATTTCTACTTTAGTACCATTTTGTTCTTATTCATATATTTGCCACCATTTCATGAGTCGAGAAAAAAATTCAGATTCTTTTCCTTCGGATCGTATCGGCTTTTTCTGACGTTTCTCTGTTTTCCTCGAATTCCCATAGTGCCTTCCAGTGAAGGAAAAAATGTGTATATCACGGAGTATTTTGAGAGTTCACCGACTGCATTCAGTTTTCAGAAATTGCTGTTATTGTTGATGACGTCAACGTGATGGACTTTGGGCGGGCTCGTACCGCGAACTATGCATGACATGTCGTCAACAACACTTCACACCACTGCGCCACACATATCAACAATCGACAGTTGCAACGATATGCAATGTTGCGATTATTATTAACGAATTGATGGCAAATGCTTTTCACTATTCACTTTTCACGATTGTTTTTTGTTATTATTCTCATTTTTATTTTTTAAAAATGATGTTTTACTGATTACTATTGATCGTCGTGCATTTTGAGTAGTTTGGAATGAGATTCGTGACATTTCGCATGAAGTTATTGATAGAGGAAAAGGATTCAAGCTCCGCCCATGATCTATTTCAGCTTTACTGTTGTTATTAAACGGAAGAGAATGTTTGCGGAGGTGTCGTGACGAAAAGTTATTTGTGTATTCGTCAACTTATGAATTCGCTTTGATTCCTTTCGTTTTTATAAAAATGTTTTTTCGGCCTAATCAGCTCTATACAAACAAGTTGTTTACAATTGCTCACACGTGGGCAGTTTATTAGCTATATTCTTCTCTTTTTTCTAGCATCATTTTACGTATCCAGGATATCCGTGCTTGCTACTCATATAATGCTGTGCAGTGGCATCAACTCAGATTGTGCTGTTTTGTAACTTCTATTTCAAATTTTTACTTGAGTTTTATGCAGTCATGTCCTAGTAGTATCACTTGGCAGTATTTTCTACAGAAAATCATATTCAAGAAATAGAAATTGCTAAAGAATGCAATAATCAGAGTTTCTGATATATGTTGTTATTTCCCCGCAGTACGGGATGCGAAGGCCTCACCAGAAGGGCGAATTTATGGCAAAATTTCTGCCTCGGACGGTACTCGAACCCTCGTTGTGCTCAAGAACTGGTTCAAGTCCCTTCCAAGGCCAAAGACGACTAATCATTTTTATAAGGTGGAAACCCCATCATTTTAACTAAGTAACTGCTTTCTAAACTGAGTGGGTGCATACAATTGTCATGACTATTCTGTAAGGGAATCAGTATGGGTGACTCCTTCTAAAATGATCATAACAGCTCCAAGCAATCTGTCATCAGGGCCCTTTAAATTTCTTGTCCGATATATTATCGGTGAGCATAGTTTTCCAAATTAGAAAGCAATCTCAACTTTCTGTTACTTTACCATTTTTTTCAAATCATTGACTGACTTCTGTGACTGTACTGTGGGCCCAACCTTCTTCATAATTGCCCCTTCAATAAAAGTTTTCTCTTTGAA